TTCATGCTCACGAATGCTCTCTCTCGTTCCCTTTCTCAAAATAAATAAATAAGTCTTTAAAAAAAAAAAAGATATGAACAATATAGGGATGCCTGGGTGGTTCAGTTGGTTAAGTGTCTGACTCTTGATTTTGGTTCAGGTCATGATCTCAGGGTTGTGAGATCCAGCCCTGCATCAGGCTCCACAATGGGCATAGAGCCTACTTAAGATTCTTGCTCTCTGGGGCACCTGGGTGGCTCAGTCGGCTGAGTGGCTGCTTCAGCTCCAGTCATGATCCCAGGGTCCTGAGATCAAGCCCCACATCGGGCTCAGCAGGGAACCTGCTTCTCTCCCTCTGACATGCCCCCTCGTCATACTCTCTCTGTCTGTCAAATAAATAAATAAAAACTTTAAAAAAAAAAATCTCATGAATGGATAAAGAAGATGTGGTATATATACACAATGGAATATTATGCAGCCATCAAAAGGAATGAAATCTTGCCATTTGCAATGACGTGGATGGAACTGGAGGGTATTACACTGAGCGAAATAAGTCAATCAGAGAAAGACATGTATCATATCACCTCACTGATATGAGGAATTTGTAATCTCAGGAAACAAACTGAGGGTTGCTGGAGTGGTGGGGAGTGGGAGGGATGGGGTGGCTGGGTGATAGACACTGGGGAGGGTATGTGCTATGGTGAGCGCTGTGAATTGTGTTAAGACTGTTGAATCACAGACCTGTACCTCTGAAACAAATAATACATTATATGTTAAAAAAAAAAAAAGAAGAAGAAGAAGATAGCAGGAAGGGAAAAATGAAGGGGGGGAATCAGAGGGGGAGACGAACCATGAGAGACGATGGACTTAGCCTGGTGAAGGGTATTAAAGAGGGCACGTTCTGCGTGGAGCACTGGGTGTTATGCACAAACAATGAATCATGGAACACTACATCAAAAACTAACGATGTAATGTACGGTGATCAACATAACATAATAAAAAAAAGAAAAAAGAAGAAAAAATCTCAGTCTCCTTCTTCCTCTGCACCTCCCCCACCTCTCTCTCTCTCTAAAAAATCATATGAAGAACATGACTAATAGTTATTATAACACGCACAGAAAACTGCACCCATTGAACACACAGTACACATTGTTCCTAGTACACACATGCATGTAGAACATTTGCTAAAATTGGCTACAGTCTAGACCACAAAACTAGTGCCATCAAAATTTCAAAAAACTAAACTCAAATACTGGTTCCTAATATGTTTGAAAATTTTTAAATGCTTTTCAAGTTATCTTATGGGTCAAAGAAAAAAATCCACAATGAAAATTAGAAACTTTTGAATTATATAATAAAGAAAATACTATACTTCAATTTGTAGATTGCAACTAAAGTTATGACTAGAGGTAAATTTAGAGGCTTAAATACAAAGATTAGAAAAGAAGAATATCTAAAGACCTGGGGAGAACTCAGCCAGCATAGGCTGGACACAGAAAGCACTAATCAGAAAGGTAAAGACTTCATTACATTAAAATTAATAACTTTTACAAATCCAAAAACACCATTAAGACAAGCTACAGACTGGGAGTAAATACTTGCAATATATACATCACACAAAAAACTAGTATTCAAAATATATAAAGAACGCTTGTAAATCTACGAAAAAAGACACCCAACCCTAAGAAAAATGCGGAAAAGACATTCAAACTGACACTTCACAAAAGAGGATATCCATGTGGCCAATAAGCATATGAAAAGGTGCTCAACAACATTAGTTAACAAGGAAAATCAAATTGAAACCACGATGACTGTACTATACCTTTGCTAATTGAATTTGAATTAAAAAAAATAAATAAAATAAAACCACAATGAGATACCACTATATGCCTTCCAGAATGGTTAAAATTTAAAAAGACTAACACCACCAAGTGTTGGCATACTTATAGAGCAAGAGTTAACTCCCATATGTTACTGATAACGAGAAAATTGGCACAAACATTTTGGAAAAACGTTTGGCCTTCTTTAATAGGACTGAAAATATGTATACTGTATACTCCATCAACCTCAATCCTAGGTATAAACCCAACAGAAAAATGTGCACATGTGCACTAAAATATTCACAATAGCTTACTGTAATAGCCCAATACTTGAACAACCAAGCATCCATTAAGAGAAGAGTGATAAATTGTGCTATATTCATTAAATGTAATAGTACACAGCAATGAAAATGCCAAATTGTAGCTACACAGAACACAAAAGGATAGCTATTGGAGGGGTGCCTGTGTGGCTCAGTCAGTTAAGCGTCTGCCTTCAGCTCAGGTCATGATCTCAGGGTCCTGGGATCGAGTCCCACATCGGGCTCCCTGCTCGGCGGGAGGCCTGCTTCTCCCTCTCCCACTCCCCCTGCTTGTATTCCCTCTCTCACTGTCTTTCTCTCTCTCAAAGTGAATAAAATCTTTAAAAAAAATAAAAAAAAAAGGATAGCTATTGTACAATTCTATTTAAATAAAGTTTAAAACCAGGTAACATTAACATAGGGTTTTAGAAGTTAGTGATTATCTTTTTTTTATGTTCAATTAGCCAACATATAGTACATCATTAGTTTTTGATGTATCGTTCAACAATTTTAGTTGTGTATAACACCCAGTGCTTATGGAAGAGGGATGGTGTAGTGATTTGGATGGAATGTGAGGAATTTCTGGATTGCGGGCATCATTCTATTTCTTGACTGGAATAGTTGTTATATGGGTGTGTTCATGTTGGATAATTCAGTGATCTGTACACATAGGTATGTATATTTTATATGTATATATTTTATATTTCAATTAGAAACTTTAAAATGAAAAAGTAAATAGAAATTTAAACTACCTGATTGAAGTTTGTGTAACATGACCTGGAGACACAAAGAGAAAACTAGTAAATTGTAGTTGAAAATAGATTTCAAAGAGATTACTCACCAGTTAGAAAAGAGAGAAAAAGACATGCTGCTCAGAGAAACAAAAATAAGAATGGCACAAAATGAACTATTTGGGGTGGAAGGAAAAGGGTTTAATGCGAAGTAAGACTAAAGAGAAACGGAGGATAGGGAAACCAATGAGAGGATTTCTGAAATAGCTGGATGGTAAAAAAAAAAAAAATCAGTAAGAGCTTGAACTGGAAATGACATTTCTACACATGGAGGGAAAGAAACAGAATTTAGAAAACAGATAACTACGGTACATCTACATAACATTTCCTATTACTACAGCCAGTATCTCTCCAATCATTGCCATAACCTTATGTGGTAGGAGTATTTTTACCTCCATTTTACAGTCCAGGCACAGAGCAGTTAAGAAACTTACCTAAAAGTTATAGAGGCAGGAAATGGCAGCATTCTAAATACTATATATACTATACTATACTATACTATACTACACTATACTATACTATACTATACTATACTATACTATACTGATAAGATTGAGGTTTCAAGCCTGGGTGATTTGGGGAATGATAATTTCATTAGCATATCCAGGCAACCTGGAAGGAGGGACAATCCCTTGCCTCAGAAAAGAATGATTTCTCTTTCCATATTGTTCTGGCTTCATTGAACCCAAGCATCACTGTCCCTTCAGGAAACACAGCATATTTCCTCACCCCAATACAACAAGATCAAACTACCTTAAGAACAACCTGATACGTGGAAAAGCAAGCTGCTGAAAGAAGTGTGGGCAAAATTCCAGAATATGAAGTTAATTATGTACGTATCCATTTCCACTGATTTCTACCACCCAAATATTTCTTAAACTCTTCCCTCCTTTATACTAAACCACTCTGACTTAGGCCCTCTCTGCTCTTCTCCTGCTCTGTTAGACTTCATATCACAGCCAAACTTTCTGTGAGCGAACTACAGCCTATGGGCCAAATCTAGCCCACAAACTACTTCTGTATGTCCTGTGAGCTAAGAACAATTTTTGCATTTCTAAATGGTTGAAGAGGGAGGAGAAGAAAAAGAAGAGGAGGAGGAGTAGAAAAAGAAAAGGATTTGTAACAGAGGTGCATGTGGCCCACAAGCCTAAAAAATTTACTATTCTGTGCTTTCCAAAAAAAGCTTGCCAACCCGCACTCTAAACCATGCTCTCCCCACATTCCTTTCTAGAGTCATTCTTCTCCCAGCAGCACTGGTAGGAACGCTGACAGGATACTGATAGTCTCAAAGCCCATCCTCTGAGGATGTCTCCCCATTGCACAGACTAAGCATCACACCCTCAGTACTTTAAGAACAACTTTTTTCACACCTGTAGGTACTTAATATTATAAAAGTAACTCAGTTTACTACTATCTCCTCAACTAAACCTTTAACAACTAGTAGGTAGAAATTGTGTCCTCTCTTTTTAACTGCCATTTGTTGAGTGCTTACTATAGGTGAGAGACTGACCTAGATACTTTTTTTAAAATAAAATGTTACTTAATCCCCCTGATGGCCCTAGAAATTTGGAATTATCTTCAATTTACATCTTAAGAAACAGGCTACGATCACAGAGTTAATTATTGGTGGAGCCAAGATTTAAAGCTGAACTCTGTATCAAAGTCTCTGACAAAAAGTAGGTAATTAATAAATAAATGAACAAATTAATTGATTAAGATGGATGAATCAATGGTTTTCTGACTTTAGAGCCACTGTTTTTAACAATATGGTCTTAATTTCACAACACTGAAATGCATCTCAAATCTTGAAATTGAAATGTATCTTAAATTAGTCTAACTCAAGAGCTCATATGATTATTTCTTTGTTGCCCATTTTATTCCAAAAAAGATTCAGGACATTTAATATATGACATCTCTCCATAATATCCATGTTAAATAGTCATTCAGTCAATAAAGCTACAGGCCAAATCAAGAATTTAAATAAAAGTAGAACTTCAGAAAATTTGTATATTTGTATATTGCTATTGCGATATAACTGTTCACCAATGCCAATGTACAGAACACAAAATCTGTTCCACAGGCCCAAAATGCTACAAAGAAAGTGAAGTTACCTTTAATCTCTTTTCCTTTTCCGAAACAATGGTCCTGATGAGGGTAAGTTCAGTTAGGGAAAATACAAGTAAAACTACCAAAGGGAAGATACTTATAAAAATCCACAAAAAAGTATCATTATAATAAGCAGGGAATGGAAACCGCCTAAGAAAAATTAAGACATCACTAAACACTTGTTCTGCAGCTCTGCTGTTATGGTACGTCATGATGGCCCGATCTACGACATGCTGCAAAAGCAGGAACCCTTCTCTGATGTACCCTAAATGAGAAAACAAAGATGGTCAAGTTCAGTATACCAAGAAACAACCAGGCAAACAAAGAAGGCAATTTGCGTAATTCAAAACTTTTAACTCAAAGAACAAAACAGTTTCCCAAAACCTATAGTAATTTGGGACACAAATAGACAATAAATTAACATGGAATTGTATTACTCTCTTCCCAAAATTAAAATACTACATGAAAATGATACAGTTGCTTTATATAATTTTAGCAGCCAAAATAAATGAGAATTCAATACCAGACATATAAATAGAAGTGATGCTCAAAACAAGATGTGATACAATCCCATTTACAATAGCATCAAAAAGAATAAAATACATAGGAATAAACTTAACTGAGGAGGTGAAAGACTTACACACTGAAAACTACAAAACATTGCTGGAAGAAATTAAAGATGACACAAGTAAATGGAAAGACATTCCTTGTTCCTGGATTGGAAGACTTACTGTTGTTAAAATATCCATACTACCCAGAATGATCTCCAGATTCAATGCAACCTCTATCAAAATCCTTGTGATGAGCATAGGTGTATGTATGGAAGTCCTGAATCACTAAATTGTATACCCAAAACTAATATTACACTGTATGTTAACTAACTGGAATTTAAATAAAAACTTTAAAAAATTCCAGTGTAATTTTTTGCAGAAACAGAAAAAACAATCCTAAAATCCATATAAAATTGCACAGAACCCCGAATAACCAAAACAATCGTAAGCAAAGAGAGCACCTACTCTTGTGAGCTGGAGGCCTCGCACTAACTGATTTCAAAATATAATGCAAAAGTACAGTAATCAAAAGAGTATTGGTATAGTAGCAGCATAAAGACTGAAATAGAGAGCAACAGAACAGACGGCCCAGAAATAAATTCTCCCATATATGGTCAGATGACCTTTGACAAGGCCACCAGGAGAAAAGACACTCTCTTCAAAACAAATGGTGCTAGATAAACTGGATATCCACATGCAAAAGAATGAAGTTGGATTCTTACCCAAAACTGCATGCAAAAGTTAAATCAAAGGAGATTAAAGACCTAAATATAACACCTGAAATTACAAAACTCTAGAAGAAAACATAGGGCAAAAGTTTCGTGACATTAGATTTCACAATGATGTGGCTATGATACCAAAAGCACAGGTGACAAAAGCAGAAAACAGATGACTTCAAACTCAAAAGCTTCTACACAGGAAGGAAACAATCAACAGAGTAAAAAGGCAACCTCTGGAATGGGAAGAAATATTCACAAACCATATACCTGATAAAGAGTTAATATCCAGAATATATAAAGAGGGTGCTTGAGTGGCTCAGTTGATTAGGCATCAGACTCTTGATTTTGGTTCAGGTCATGATCTCAGGGTCCTGGGATCGAGCCCTGTGAGGGGCTCTGAACTCAAGCAGGGAGTCTACTTGAGGATTCTGTCTCTCCCTCTCTCTCAGTCCCTCCCACTGCCCACACATGCACTCTCTCTCTCAAATAAATAAATAAATCTCGGGGCACCTGGGTGGCTCAGTCGGTTAAGCATCTGCCTTCTGCTCAGGTCATGATCTCAGGGTCCTGGGATCGAGCTCTGTGTTGGGCTCCCTGCTCAGCAGGGAGTTTGCTTCACCCTTTCCCTCTGCCTCTCTGCTCATGCTCACTCTTCTCTCTATCTCAAATAAATAAATAAATAAATCTTTTAAAAAAATAAAAAGCATACATATATGCAATGGAATATTACTTAGCCATCAGAAAGGATGAATATCTACCATTTATATCAACATGGATGGAGCTGGAGGGGATTATGCTAAGTGAAATAAGTCAATCAGAGAAACACAATTAACATATGGTTTCGTTCATATGTGGAACATAAGGAATAGTGCAGAGGACAATAGGAGAAGGGAGGGAAAACTGAATGGGAAGAAATCAGAGAGGGAGACAAACCATATGAGACTCTTGACTCTGGGAAACAGAGGGTTGCCGAAAGGGAGGTGGGTGGGGAGATGAGGTAACTGGGTGATGGGCATTAAGGAGGGCATATGATGTGATGAGCACTGGGTATTATACTTGACTAATGAGTCATTGAACATTATATCAAAAACTAATGATGTACTATAACTTGGCTAATTGAATTTAAATTAAAAAATAAAAAGTAAAATAAAAATAAACAAATCTTTAAAAAAGAATAAAGAACTCCTCTAACTCAACAACAAAAATAAGCCAATTAAAAAGTGAGCAAAGGACTTGAACAGACATTTCTCCAAAGAAAACACACAAATGGTCAAAAAACACATGAAAAAACATTCAACTTCACTAAACATCAGAGAAATGCATATCCAAATCACAATGAGATATCACTACCAAAAGAACAGAAAAGAACAAGTGTTAATGAGGATGTAAAGAAATCGGAATCCTTGTGCTCTCTTGGTAGGAATATAAAACGGTGCACAGTATGGAGGTTTCTCAAAATACCAAAAAATAACTACCATATCATCCAGCAATCCCATTTCATGGCATATATCCAAAAGAACCAAAGAAAGGATCTCAAAGAGATAACACACTCATGTTCACTGCAGCATTATTCACAATAGCCAAGAGGTGAAAGCAACCTATGTCCCTCCACAGATGAATGGATAAACAAAATGCACCATATACATACAGTGGAATATCATTTAGCCTTTAAAAAGAGAGAAATTCTGTCCTATGCTACAACATGGACACACCCTGAGGACATTATGCACAAAAAGACAAGTAATGCATGATTCCACTTATATTGGGCATTTGACCTACATTCACAGAAACAGAAAGTAGAATCTTGGTTTCCAGGGGCTGGAGGGAGGGAAACATTAGGAAGTATTTAATGGATAGCATTTCAGGTTTGCAATATTAAAAGTTTTAAAGATCTGCTGCACAACAACATGGCTATAATTAACAATGTTGTATTGGGCACTTGAAAAGTGAAGAAGGTATATCTCATGTTAAGTGTTCTTATTACAATTTTAAAAATCTCACTTTTAAATTTCACTGAACTAATTCTGATCTTCTCTTCCACCACCTATCCTCAGCTGATTTAATTGGCTAAAGTCCTAATAATTAATATCATAGAATCTTCATATCAAAAGGGACCTAAAGGGTGGCCTAGTCCAAACATTCATTTTTCAGATGAAGAAACTTTATCTAGAATGTTTAGGATCATAAAGCTACTGATTAATAAAGTCTGAACAAAAAACAAGTCACCACACTTTAATCCAAGAGTGTCCCCTCATACCAATTTTTTAATGTTAATTTGCTATGCAGTGTCATTCAATAGTTGGAGTTTGCCTAATTATCTTCTGTCTTGTTTTATAGAACATGGTCTTTTTAAGGAAATACCTCCTTCCAGAAGTAACACTCTATTTAAATATTTTTATGTGACCAACTCTTCTTTCTGGTTTTAAACTACTCTTTTTCTACCAAGATCATGCTATTTTCAATTAACTTACTCTAACAAATTACATTTAGGTGGCAGTAGATTAATTATAAGAGAGGCCAGACTCTTTTTTAACTTTTGCTTGGAAAAATATTCAAAATGTTTTTGATAAGATGACAAAACAACACACAATCAATACCACCATTCTAGTTTAACTATTTTCGTTTTTGGACAGCCATCCCAATCTTTGTATAGGTTCATACATACTTTTCATAGCTATGATTCTAATTATATGGTTCTCTATTTATTAGGCCTGGTAAGAATTATTTTTAACCACTACACAATAGTTGTCAAACTGACATATCCTCATATTCTTAACTATGTACTTATTATACAGTTTTGATTGTTGCCAATTTTCATTGATAATGGTTAAATTGCACATAGCTTTTGTCTGCTATTGAATGATTTCCTAAAGCTAACTTCTCAGAATTGTTAGTTAGTTCAAAGCCCTTACTGTTTATTTTTTTCCTTCAAGGTACTCTATACAATTAAAAAAGAATTTTAAATTACCACTGCATAAATAAAACTCATTCATCAACCAAAAAGAATAATTTAATCCAACACTATGAAACTTGGAATTCAACCACAAAAAAAAATTTGGAAAGACCACAATACATGGAGGTTAAAGAACATCCTACTAAAGAATGAATGGGGGGTGCCTGGGTGGCTCAGTTGGTTGGGCCACTGCCTTCAGCTCGGGTCATTGTCCTGGAGTCCCGGGATCGAGTCCTGCATCTGGCTCCCTGCTCGGTGGGGAGTCTGCTTCTCCCTCTGATCCTCCCCCCTCTCATGTGCTCTCTCTCTCTCTCATTCTTGCTCTCTCAAATAAATAAATAAAATATTTTTAAAAAAAGGATGAATGGGGCTAATTGGATTTATTTTTTCTTTTTTTTATTTATTTTTTAAATTTTATTTTATTATGTTGTTAGTCACCATGCAGTGCTGTATGGTGGCTAACTTAATTTAAATTAAAAAATTAAAAATTAAAAAAATTAAAGAAAATGAATGGGTTAACCAGATAATTAAAGAAAGAAGAAATAAAAAAAGAGCATGGAGGACCACAGGGGAAGGGAGGGAAAACTGAATGGGAAGAAATCAGAGAGGGAGACACCATTGGAGACTCTGGACTCCAAGAAACAAACTGAAGGTTACAGAAAGGAGGAGGCATGGGGTAACCAAGTGATGGGTATTAAGGAGGGCACGTGTTGTGATGAGCACTGGGTGTAATACGCAACTAAATGAATCATTGAACACTACATCAAAAACTAATGATGTACTATATGCTGGCTAACTGGACATAAATAAATAAATAAATATACAGTCATTACATAAAAAAAAGAAATAAAAAATACATGGGAGCAAATAAAAATGAAAACACAACAGTCTAAAATCTTTGTGATGCAGTAAAGGCAGTCCTAAAGGGAAGTATATTGCAATACAAGCCTAATTCAAGAAGCAAGAAAAGTCTCAAATACACAACCTACCCCTACACCTAAAGGAGCTAGAAAAGGAACAGCAAATAAAGCCTCAGGCCAGCAGAAAAAAGGAAATAATAAAGATTAGAGCAGAAATAAATGATATAGAAACAAAAAAGTGAAAAAATTGAGAGATTTCAATTTAATGAAACTAAGAGCTCATTTTTCAAAGAATTTATTCTTCAAAAGAATTAATAAAATTGATAAACCCATAGCTAGATTTATCAAAAAGATAAAAGGACCCAAATAGATAAAATCATGAATGAAAGAGGACATATCACAACTAACACCACAGAAATACAAACAATCATAAGAGAATACTATGAAAAATTATATGCCAACAAACTGGGCAACCAGGAAGAAATAGACAAATTCCTAGAAACCTACAAACTACCAAAACTGAAACAGGAAGAAATAGAAAATTTGAACAGACCCATAACCAGCAAAGAAATTGAATCAGTAATCAGAAATCTCCCAACAAACTAAAGTTCAGGGCCATATAGATTCCCAGTGGAATTCTACCAGACACTGAAAGAAGAGTTAATACCTATTCTCCTCAAACTGTTCCAAAAAGTAGAAATGGAAGGAAAACTTCCAAATTCATTCTATAAGGCCAGCATTACCTTGATTTCAAAACCAGATAAAGATCCACTAAAAAGGAGAATTACAGGCCAATATCCCTGATGAACATGGATGCAAAAAAATGCTAGCAAATTGAATTCAACAGTACATTTGATGAATTATTTTATTCACCATGATCAAGTGGGATTTATTCCTGGGCTGCAAGCAACACCTGCAAATCAATCAATGTGATATACCATATTTATTAAAGAAAGGATAGGAACCATATGATCCTGTCAATAGATGAAGAAAAAGCATTTGACAAAACACAGCATCCTTTCTTGATAAAAACCCTCAACAAAGTAAGGATAGATGGAACATACCTCAACATCATAAAGGCCATATATGAAAGGCCAACAACTAATATCATCCTCAATGGGGAAAAACTGAGAGCCTTTCCCCTAAAGTCAGGAACAAGACAAGGATGTCTACTCTCATACTGTTATTTAACACAGTACTGGAAGTCTTAGCCTGTCTGATTAGACAACAAAAAGAAATAAAAAGCATCCAAATGGGCAAGGAAGAAGTCAAACTTTCACTGTTTACAGACGACATCATACTCCATGTAGAAAACCCAAAAGACTCCACCAAAAACTAGAACTCATACAAGAATTCAGCAAAGTTGCAGGATATAAAATCAATGTGCAGAAATCTGTTGCATTTCTGTACATCAATAATGAAGCAGCAGAAAAAGAAATCAAGGAATTTATCCCATTTATAATTGCACGAAAAACAATAAAATACCTAGGAATAAATCTAACTAAAGAAGTAAAAGATCTGTACTCTGAAAACTACAAAACACTTATGAAAGAAATTGAAGAGAACACAAAGAAATGGAAAAGCATTCCATGCTCATGGACTAGAAGAACACATATTGTTAAAATGTCTATACTACCCAAAGCAATCTATACATTTTAATGCTATCCCTATCAAAATACCACCAGCATTTTTCACAGACCTAGAACAATCCTAAAATTTGTATGGAACCACAAAAGACCCCAAATAGTCAAAGCAATTGTGAAAAAGAAAAACAAAACTGGAGGTATCAGGGGGCGCCTGGGTGGCTCAGTCGTTGAGCGTCTGCCTTTGGCTCAGGTCGTGGTCCCAGGGTCCTGGGATCGAGCTCCGCATCGGGCTCCCTGCTCAGAGGGAAGCCTGCTTCTCCCTCTCCCACTCCCCCTGCTTTGTTCCCTTCTCTCGCTGTGTCTCTCTTTGTCAAATAAATGAACAAAATTTAAAAAAAAAAAAAAAACTGGCGGTACCAGGATTCCGGATTTCAAGCTGTATTACAAAGCTGTAGTCATCAAGACAATATGGTACTGGCACAAAAACAGATACAAAGATCAATGGAACAGAATAGAGAACCCAGAAATGGACCCTCAGCTCTCTGGTTAACTAATCTTTGACAAAGCAGGAAAGAATATCCAGTGGAAAAAAGAAAGTGTCTTCAACAAATAGGGTTGGGAAAACTGGACAACATGCAGAAGAATGAAACCGGACCACTTTCTTACACAATACACAAAAATAAATTCAAAATGGATCAAAGACTTCAATGTGAGATAGGAAACCATCAAAATCCTAGAGGAGAACATGGGCAGAAACCTCTTAGACCTCGGCAGTAGCAATTTATTATTAAACACATCGCTGGAGGAAGGGAAACAAAAGCAAAAATGAACTATTGGGACTTCATCAGGATAAAAAGCTTTTGAACAGTGAAGGAATCAACTAAAACTAAAAGCAGCCTACAAAATGGGAGAAGATATTGCAAATGACATATCAGATAAAGGGTTAGTATCCAAAATCTATAAAGAACTTCCCAAATTCAACACCCAAAAAACCCAAATAATCCAGTTAGGAAATGGGCAGAAGACATGAAGACATCCAGATGGCTAACAGACACATGAAAAGATGCTCAACGTCTATTCAGCATCAGGGAAATGCAAATCAAAACCACAATGGGATATCACCTCACACCTTCAGGAGGGCTAAAATTAACAATGCAAGAAACAACTGCTGCTGGCGAGAATGGGGAGAAAGAGGGACCCTCTTGCATTGTTGGTGGGAATGCAAACTGGTGTGGCCACTCTGGAGAACAGTTCGGAAGTTCCTCAAAAAGTTAAAAACAGAACTACTCTATGATCCAGCAATTGCACTAGTAGGCATTTACCCAAAAGATAAAAAAATACAGATTGAAGGGGTACATGCACCCAGATGTTTATAGAAGCATTATCAACAATAGCCAAACTATGGAGAGAGCCCATATGTCCATGGACTGATGAATGGATAAAGAAGATGTGGTATATATAATATTACTCAGCCATCAAAAAGAATGAAATCTTGCTTTTTGCAATGACATGGATGGGAGCTAGTGTATATTATGCTAAGTGAAGTAAGTCAGTCAAAGAAAGATAAATACCATATGATCTCACACATGTGGAATTTAAGAAAGAAAACAGGTGAACATATGGGAAGGGGGAAAAGAAAAAAAAGAGAGAGGGAAACAAGCCATATAAGACTCTTAAGGATAGAGAACAAATGGAGGGAGATGAGTGGGGGATGAGCTAGATGGGTAATGGGTATTAAAGAAGGCACTTGCTGTGATGAGCACTGGGTATTGTATGTAAGTGATGAATCACTGAATTCTACTCCAGAAACCAATATTGCACTCTGTTAACTAACCAAAATTTAAATTTTAAAAAAATAATAATTTAGAACCATAAATATGCAGGCAATGTTAGTTTATGAAGATGTGTCTATTAAGTCAGCAGAGCCAACTTTTACTAACTAAGACTATATAAATGCAAGGATACACACTGATAAAGTTCAGGAAATGATCTACAGTTTTAGGAAGATATTTTTCAAATGCATAAGGTTTTCTATATGCTTGTTTTTACAATGAAAATTCAAATTTAAAAATGTACTGCCACAATGAATAAACTTTTCACTCATAGAAAAAAATGATCCATACATGTTGATATGACTACTAGCTTGCAACCAAAATATTAATGTAAGTAGGCTGGAGGACCGCTCACCAGGATCTCCCCCATCATCATCAACTAGGTTCCTGGGTCCTAGAGAAGGTATCTCTGGAAAGAGAAGATGTGTATTCCATCCAGTATCTTTTAAGGAGCTTAGTAAATTTGAAGATTTCTCAGTACCTGCACCAAAACGCAGATGATATTTTACCTAGAATAAACAATAGAAAACAAACAACATGTAAGACCAATGAACACTAAAAAGCAGGTAAGAGGGCGCCTGGGTGGCTCAGATGGTTAAGCGTCTGCCTTCGGCTCAGGTCATGGTCCCAGAGTCCTGGGATCGAGTCCCGCATTGGGCTCCCTGCTCCTTGGGAGCCTGCTTCTCCCTCTGCCTCTCTCTCTCTCTCTCTCTCTCATGAATAAATAAAACCTTTAAAAAAATAAAATAAATAAAAAGCAAGTAAGAGCAGTGAAAGGAAAAGAAAATACAAAGCTACAATTTGTGTTTGGAGGACAGAGTGAGCAATTCAGGATTCTAAATGATAAGAAATGACAGTACCACTGACACAAGGGACAAGCAGCAAGCCTCATGTGCCATAATCATAGTCAAAGTTAGAAATCAATTAAATTTACATCTCTGTTCTATCATCTTCAGGCATTTTTGTCTCTGAGTTACAAAGACGCCAACAGTGCTACCTTGATCATTACAAATGTATTTTTCTATCTCCACAACTGGCTTGCCTAACTCGGTGAGACCTCAAACAGTTCTATTACTTTTCTTTCCTATTATGTTAGCCAATTATGGTAAAGATTGTCTCTCTCTTCAAAAAGTGAATAACAGAAAAGGAAAAAGCCCAGATATAATAAGAGTAGGGATAATAAAATTTAAATGTAGAATGCTGCATATTTTAGATATTACATGAAAAGAAAATGATGTATCTAGAGAGCTGAGCCAACTTCAGGGTAAGTTATGGTAGATCTGAGTAGCCTGACAAGGCAAGAGGCTACAGTTGCCCAAGGTCAGTAGAGGCAGAAAAGAGAAGTCAGTGGGGTGAGAAGCAACAGGCAGGTGCACCATGTCTGCGCAAACATTCACATAATTCAGTAATTCAAAAGCAACATTTTAAGTAGCTACAGCATGCTTAAGTATTATTAATATATAATTCTTGAACTCGAGGAACTAACAAGGTGTTCAGGGAGCACAGAAGAAAGAAGGGAAGACTTTGCATAGATAGTTACAGCAAGAGTTTTATAGAAATTACTAGTAAGAGTTACCCCAGAAAAAGGACAGGCAGAGCATCAAAAGGAAAGAGAAGCAAGAGATCAAAGGCAGAGAAGCAAGAGACCACACAGGACATACAACTACTGCTGGTTCGAGATTGCTAGAGCATGAAGTTCAAAGAAAGAAGAGACAACACGAGGCTGAAGGGCTCTTCAGAAAGCAGGTCACTGATGACCTGTTCATGGAGAACCCCTGGAACTTTTTAAGCAGCACAGTAACATGGTCTTTTCTGCGTTCCTAGTGGATCACTGTGCTATCTATGGTAGAGATAGGTCTTGCCCAGGAAAATCAGCTAAGTTCCAGAAGAGTTGGTTTTGGTGCAGGGAGAGTACAGGCAGTCATGGACTCAGAAAACAGGTAAGAAATTTTGTTTGATAAATTGTGGAAAAAGAGAACAGGCACCTGGGGAAATAACCTGGGGAAAATCTTGTCAGGTATCCATTCTAATGCTAGACACAGTGAACTGTCAACAAAAACGAAGCTTGTACCGCACCAAAGTTATTTGACATTTGAGCCAGAGGCTCTACATATACCAATGAACCTGTATCACCATCAGCATGTGCTTTCGAGGCAGTAATTAGTGTAAAGTAGGCATAGCTGGGGAAAATGAGGAGAGGACGGAAGAGAAAGAAAGGTGACCTACTGTCCTGCCAGTGATTTTCCTTTCTCTTTCCTTCCTTCTATTAGCAAACACTTGGATCCTCAATAGGATTGGGCTCTGTGCATAAATACTATAGTTTGATCATTTCCCTCAACTCCAGGCGGCTCATCTCTAACATGTGCTAAAGAGAAACACCAAGTTACCAAAGTGCCAACACTATCCATTTTCTCTCCTTGAGGGATGTTATCTGAGTCTTCCTTGGGGTCTGTCCTAATTCTGACGCAACCTGGAAAACCCTAAAAGCTGATACTAGAGATTTAGAAGAGAAATTAGGTAATTCACACAAAAGAAAGAAGTCTTTCATGCTGGGACCTCTGTTGGTGTATATATATATGCCTTTTATTGAAAGGCCAAACTTTAACATTTCAAGGAACTCCAAATGAGTTACTGGTGGGGTTACAGAAGCTTCCATTCACGCCACCAGTGATAATCAAGAATTCTGAAAGTTAAAGATTACCTCCAATTACCTCTTTGGAGACATAAAACAAATACATTAAAACATGATACAAAGTACAAAAAAGGAGGCATTCACCAAAGCAAAAATAAGCAGCAGGCCTGTTAGAACAGGCCTGTTCTAATAAGAGGGCATCATAAAAACTCCTTCTGAAGTTCACAGTCCCAGGAAAGGGAGCTACCTCAGCTTAAAAGACATCCAGACATGAGTGAGGTGTTTTTGCTTTTAACTTTCATGTAATAATAGCTTTGTTATAAAAGTCACTTCAGATACAAAGTTAGAATGGCAATTACACTTAAAATTAGCTCATTAAAATTAGCTCATATTACAGATATGCACTATCTGAAATTCCAGAAGGTATTTAAACAGGGAACAGACATTGATACCCATCTTTTTTACCTAGCTACACTGTTATTTTTTTAACCACCATTTGCAAGACTGGAAGCATCTGCCTGGCCAGGGAGATTAGTAAAGTGAATATCCTTACTAAAGTTCCTGTTACTCTATTTTCTGAATATATACCATAAGGTAGCAGATAACAGTTTTCTCCTCACATTATACACCAGTATACATCAGTATAATGTAATGATTAAAAGCACAGGTATTAAAGTAAGTTGGCACAGGGATGCCTGGGTGGCTCAGTCGGTTAAGCAGCTGCCTTCAGCTCAGATCATGATCCCAGGGTGCTGGGATCGAGTCCCGCATCGGGCTCCTTGCTCAGCGGGAGCCTCCCTCTCCCTCTGCCGGCTGCTCTTTCTGCTTATGTTCTCTCTTTCTGACAAATAAATAAATATTTTTTAAATAAGTTGGCACAAGATTCAAATCCCTGTTCTGTTATATACTAGTAGTTAGGATCTTGGGCAACTTACAATTATTCCCATTTATAAAATGGGGAGGTTACCTATATCTCATTAAATCTCTGAAACCTAACATATAAAGCCTTTAGACAAAAATTTCTTACTTTAAGTGGCAAACCGTCATCGCTGTTTTTGAAGTCATGATCAAATACAATAGCAGCCAGCACATGAACCATAGGCTTCTTTTCATACACAACGTACTTTTCAAACTGTGCTTCTGAAGAAAAGCCTTGAACTGCAGAGAGAAAAATCTCAGTAAGTCATCACATAAATGGAAAATGTCTAATGATTATCCCTATCTGTACCATGAATACCATAATCCTGTCATAACACAGTTCATTTTAAAACATTATTACTCAAACACTGACATTACAGCTGACCTAATGGATATCTGGGGTACACAAAAATTCTTGTGTTTTATAAAAGTTGGAACACATTATAAACAATATTTAATCATCACAATAACTGTATATTAAGGTAAACTGTGACAAGGGAACTTTTCAATTATAGTTTGAAACCTAGTGATTAAAAAAATGTGGAAGGAAATAAGTGTCAAAATTATTTCTGTCGAAGGTATATTTCAAAAAATAATTGCAGAATAAATTGTATTCTAGAAAACAACTGTAGAATTTTTTTTTAAAAGATTTTATTTATTTGACAGAGAGACACAGCGAGAGAGGGAACACAAGCAGGGGGAGTGGGAGAGGGAGAAGCAGGCCTCCCGTGGATCAGGGAGCCCGATGTGGGGCTCGATCCCAGGACCCTGGGATCATGACCGGAGGCGAAGGCAGACGCTTAATGACTGAGCCACCCAGGTGCCCCAACAATTGTAGAATTTAAATTAAAAATTTTTAAATAAAATAAAATAAATAAAAGTAGCGGTTACTTTTCTTATTCACAAATTAATCTGTATGAAATTTTAAAAAAACACTCTCAAAACAACACACACACAACCACACACATACAGGTAACTTAAATGACTAAAGCTTTTTCTTAAGAATTAAAATATTTCCAATGTAAACAGATTATTAAAGTCTTCGATAGCCTCTCTATAAGACAATATAAATAATTATGGACAGAAATAAGATTTTTTTTGTTTTGTTTTTGAAGATTTTATTTATTTGACAGCGAAAGAGAGACAGCAAGAGAGGGAACACAAGCAGGGAGAGTGGGAGAGGGAGAAGCAGGCTTCCCACTGAGCAGGGAGCCCGATGAGGGGCTCGATCCCAGGACCCTGGGATCATGACCTGAGGCGAAGGCAGACACCTAACGACTGAGCCACCCAGGTGCCCCGAGAAATAATATTTTTAAAACAAAGTTACATAACATGTGCAAAGAGCCATACTGTAAAGATGTCTCTTCTGTAAAAATTGACTACATAAGAGTCAATGTAATTCTAGTAAAAATCCAAACATTTGTTAACTAACTTGGATTTAAATAAAACAAAACATAATAAAATATCAATCTTCTAGAATAGATCTCAAGAGTTCTCACCACAAAAACTGGTAACTATGTGAGCTGATGGATATGTTAATTAGCTTGGTTGTGATAATCAAGGTATATGTATGTCAAAACACCATTTTATATGACCTAAATATACACAGTTTTTATGTCAATCATAAATAAAATAAAAATAAAACTGGCTAATTTGCAACGACGTGGATGGAACTGGAGGGGGTTATGCTGAATGAAATAAGTCAGTCAGAGAAAGACATGTATCATATGACCTCACTGATATGAGGAATTCTTAATCTCAGGAAACAAACTGAGGGTTGCTGGAGTGGTGGGGGGTGGGAGGGATTGGGTGGCTGGGTGATAGACATCGGGGAGGGTATGTACTATGGTGAGCACTGTGAATTGTACAAGACTGATGAATCACGGATCTGTACTTCTGAAACAAATAATGCAATATATGTTAAGAAAAAAAAGAAGAAGAAGAAGAAGATAGCAGGAGGGGAAGAATGAAGGGGAATAAGTCGGAGGGGGAGACGAACCATGAGAGACGATGGACTCTGAAAAACAAACTGAGGGTTCTAGAGGGGAGGGGGGTGGGGGGATGGGTTAGCCTGGTGATGGGTATTAAAGAGGGCACATTCTGCGTGGAGCACTGGGTGTTATGCACAAACAATGAATCATGGAACACTGCATCAAAAACTAATGATGTAATGCATGGTGGTTAACATAACAATAAAAAAATTATTAAAAAAATAAATAAATAAATAAAATAAAACTGGCTAATAACATAAAATATTTCAAAAAAAATCCAAACAATTTTTATGAAAAATTACAAACCAATTCTAAAATTTATATGGAAACACAATGTGTGAATAACAAGGTGTATTAAAAGATGAGCTTTTGGGGCATCTGGGTGGCTCAGCTGGTTAAGCGTCTGACTCTTGATCTCAGCTTAGGTCCTGATCTCAGGGTTGTGAGTTCAAGCCCTGCATGTGTTCCACGCTGGGTGAGGAGCCTACTTTAAAAAAAAAAAGATGAGTTTCATCCCACTGTATTACCAGAAAGAAAAACCAAACTATAGAAGAGTGTATATAGTATACTCTTGTCTAAGAAAGGAGAATAAGAAATATATAGAGAAAATATATAGACACACACACACAGACTCACACACATACCCAGAAATACATGCATACATGTAGAAACATTATTTATACCAAAAGAAACACAAAAAGAATAAATCAGGCACTAACAGTATTGGTTACCTATGGGTGGAAGGGTGGATGAGAACAGGTTAGAAGTGATTGTGGAGGCAATGTCAGTTATCTAATTATACATTTTAATACAGGTTTGACTTTTGTTTATTGTTGATCTTTTACATACTCAAAAATAAAATTAAATCAACACAGAGGGGTATAATTACTAAAACTTAATAAGAATATAAGTGAATCCTAAATAGATATTAAATTAATAACAACCACAAGAAGAAAAAGAATTAACCCAAGTGAATTTTAGGCACAGCATGTTGACATATACCCCTAGTTGAATATAGTCTAGGAAGAAAAAGAACGGCAAAGAAATACTGTTAAGTGTGTTAGGGCAGTAGTACATAATGTAAGTAATTCAGAAATACTTTTCTATAAGATTGGGCAAATGAGTACATTGATGCTGCTAGGATCTAGGGCTCTGAGAGAGAAAGGAGGTACAAATATACAATGGGAGAAGAAAAACAAGAGGCCTATATTGTTGGACTGGCATTGAGAGTATCAACATAAAATCATGATTTAAAAAAAATCCTACTAAAAGAGTCTAGACGCAAAGACACCCCAGTAGTAATAGGTACACCTAGTACTTGTTTTTCCCTATGTTTTATTGTGGGGAGACAGACACGCTGAGCACATTTACAAAAATCTATCAGGCCCTGAGGGGAGAAGGAAACAGGAGGCCAATTCTGACCCACTTATAAGTGGAGGGTTAAGTGGTGACCTCCCTACTGGTGCCTTCAGGAAGGGAAACTGGTAGCAAAGGGAAGGGTTTTGTTTCTCTCTCTCTCTGTGTCTTATTTTTCCCATATCTTAGTTTCTTAATACCATCCCTAAAAAAAGAGGAATTAAGACAGCTCCATTGGTTGAATCTAGTTCTGGGGCAGAGAAAGTACAATGTGTTCAGCCTGAACAGCTAGTTCTGTTAGAAAGTGAAAGTGCTCAAAAGCTGACAAACATACATTAAAAGGACATTGCTTTAAAAAAAAAAACCCACTGGCTAAATCTGGGACAATTTTAGGATCAAAAATCATCATCATCAAATGATTACATCACTCAGAATATGTTCTCTACACAATGCAATCAAGCTAAATCCAATAACAAAAATATAACTAGAAAAATTCCAATTGCATGGAAATTAGGCAGTATACTCTCAACAACTCATGGAACAAAGAACACAAAATAGACTAATGTCTTGAGCTGCCTGGGTGGCTCAGTTGGTTAAGCGTCTGCTTTTGGCTCAGGTCACGATCCTGGAGTCCTGGGTTCGAGTCCCACATCGGGCTCCCTGCTCAGGGGAGAGTCTGCTTCTCAACCTCTGCCCCTCATCCCACTCATGCTCTCTCTCGCTCTCGCTCTCTCTCAAATAAATAAAATTTTAAAAATAAAGTTTTAAACATGCATGTAAAATTTCTTAACAAAATGTTAGCAAATAAAATCCATAGAATAAACCCAAGTAAATGGATGGATGATTTAATAGTTGAAAAATCATTACATTAACAAAAATAAGAAAAATCACCATCTCAATAGACAGAGAAAAGGCATTTGACAAAATTTAACACTAATTCCTGATTTTAAAAAAATCTTAGCAAACTAAGAATAGAAAGAAGCTATCTAAACCTGATAAAGAACATCTACAAACAACATATAATAAGTATGTTGCTCAATGGCAAAATATTGAAAAATTTTCTCCAGAGACAGGGAACAAGACAAGAATGCCTTTATCAGTTACTTGCTGTCAAAAGATAGAACATATCAAGTATTGGTGAAGATATGGAACTGAAACTCTCATATGTCTCTGTAAATCTCAATAGTTACATCCCTCATGACCCAACAATTTCACTCCTAGCTACATACCAAACAGAAAGGTGTATATATGTTCATCAAAAGGTTCTTATAAAAATGTTCATAACAACACTACTCATAATAGCTAAAATCTGGAATCTACCCAAATGTTCATCAAAAACAAACAAACAGATTGCATAATATTAACATAATGGGATACTATAAAGAAAATTAGTGATTTATGATCTCACACAACAATTTGGATGACTCTTACAAATATAATGCTAAGTAAAAGCACACACATAAAAACTATATAATATGTATCATATATAACCCAGAATGCTATAATGGCTCATAGTGAATAGCTCCATTTACACAAGGTGAAAAGCAGGCAAAACTAACTATGGTCTTAGATGTTAAAATAGTAGTTAAATTTGGGGGAGTCATAACTGCCACATGGCACATAGGAAGCTTCTAGGGTGCTGAAAGTGCTCTGACTTAGAATGACAGATTCCTTATAAACTACAAAGAGGACTGCCTTGACAATGGAAAGTCTGGTGGAAATCCATCTGACTAAAATGAGCAAGCATGATATCACCAGTTGAGGAACAAACTGGTAATATGCTTCCAAAAGTGATTCACTAAGAAGATCTTATAAGAAAGATGTAATATATCAATGTTATTAAAGACAAAACAACAAAAACAAAAGCAGTCTAAGATGTAATGTATGGTGATTAACGTAATTTAAAAAAAAAGCAGTCTAAGAAAGTATCCTAAGCCAGAGGTCAGGAAATTACGGTCCTGTGCAGGTCAAATCTACCCCACAGTCTGTTTTGGTATGGGCCTATGAGCTATGGATGTTCTTTACATCTCTAAAGGGCTCTTTAAAAAAAAAAAAAAAAAAGGATATTGATAGAAACTTATATAGCCCATAAAACTGAATATATTTACTATCTGGCCCTTTACATAAAAGTTTGTCAACACCAATGAATATTTAAAAATCTCTAACTGCAGGGTGCCTGTGTAGCTCAGTCAGTTGGGTGTCCGAATCTTGGTTTCAGCTCAGGTCATGATCTCAGAGTCCTGGGATCAGGCCCCGAATCAGCCTCTGCGCTTGAGAAGTGGAATCAGCTTGAGATTCTCTCTTTCCCTCTGTTCCTCCCCCAACTACACTCACTGGTGCATGCTCTCTAAATAAATAAATAAGTAAATATATAAACAAATCTTAAAAAAAATCTCTAACTGGCTCCTGGGTTACAAAAAAGAAAAAAAAAAAGCTCTAAAGAACCACATTAGGACAATTAGGAAAATATAAATATTGACTATATATTAGATAACATCATTGTATCAATTTTAAAATTCTTGGATATAATAATTGTAAAGGTTATATTGGAGAATGTCCTTATTAGGAGATACATGTAGCATTTGAAGGTGATGTGTCATGATGAATGCAACTTATTCTCAATGGTTCAGCCAAAAAAAAAAATCCAGTAATTTTATATATATTCTTTTAGTTTTACATACTTACATACATATTATATATGTGCATATATATGTGTGTGTATAGAGGGTGAATAAAAAAGTAAATGCGGCAAATGTTACTTGGTAAATTGCAGCATATTTGCATTTTCTCCATAGGTTTGAAATTTTTCAAAATCAACTATGTGTGTGTGGATAGGGGCCCTTCCAAATCACTGTGCTCAAAGTACAGCACTATATAATCCTGAAGAATTCTTTACCACAGATTTTAACAGACATTATTACTATGTATTGATTAAACCAAGCTATCAAACACCATCAAAGTCTTACCGAACACCAGCTTTCTAATCACAATTATACTAATAGTAGATACACTATACTATGCTATTCAGATACTATACTATCTGAACTTGAATTGGTGGTATATTAAAGCTTCTAGAGGCACCTGGGTGGCTCAGTCGGTTAAGTGTCTGCCTTCGGCTCAGGTCATGATCCCGGGGTCCTGGGAGTCTGCTTCTCCCTCTGCCCCTCCCCCTACTTGCCCATGAATGCTCTCTCCCTCTCTCTCAAATAAATAAATAAAATCCTAAAAAAATAAAAAAGAAATAAAAGCTTCTAGTGAATAGTTGTTTTAAAAAGTTATAATTCTTCAGACTAGCACTAAAATCTGAATATGGGAGCTTTCCAAATGAAGGCTTTTACACATATCCTCTCATATTCACTGAGCTATTTTGCTAGAGTTGGTTCCACAGAAACTATAACAAGGTAATCAGGCCCAATCAAGAGAAGGAAAATCTCTCAGCTTCCTTCCCTTTAAATGAGCACTTTACTATATTAGACATTAACAAATGCCACCATAGACTTTCAACCCATCAGATCTCTACTGCAGTCTTCAGACACACTTTCTCATGAAGGCTTCAATAGGACAGAATAACAATGCTTCTTAGACTTTCCCATAACAGTCCTCTATCCTCCACCTCCACATAAAGGGATACTTAAAAGGTAACTTTCAGCCCATCACAAGCACTAATGTTCTTTGGAGATTCATGGTTTCTATTTTTAAAATCCATGGGAATTTTGCATTAAGTTATACAATGTAACATTTTGTTTTTTAAAGATGGTTTTAAGATGGCAAAGTAAATAGATGGCATCTAGCCTCCCCTCCCATCTCAAAGCCCTGCCCTTAAAATGAGGGGAAAAAAACATGACTGTATGAGTCTATAACAGAACAAACCCACACACATGTATAAAAGCATGAGACAAGATGGGAGAGATGCTTACCAAAATTCTGACAGTGTTTTTAACATTAGAGACAGAGAAGAGAAAGAGGATGCAGAGACAGGCGAGTATAAGGAGATAAGGATTGTTTTGGTATAATTCTACGCTGCTTTACTCTTCTTTTCAAATGCATTCATATATCACACTTAATATTTTCATTAAAATGTTTAAAATTAATGATCTCGAGGTAGAGTTTATGCATGCATCCAAAAAGAAACTACTCAAGTCATCCTGAGGTTCTGTATCCCTTTGGCACGCTATCAGGTGCTCACCCTAATTTAAGAACACAGTCAGAGACAAAGAGGATTTACAATTACATAATTCCATCATCTATTTTTAAGTAGTGTATTTTGTTTATGATTATGCCAAGAATATGTTTGATATTATGTTACAGAGCTCATAATGTTATATTCAGGAGATTAATACACAAGTTTATGGTCACTGAAGTATGTCTCTTCAAAAACAAACTAATAATTATGCAACAAAAAAAAATTTTTTTTTTTTTAAGATTTTTATTTATTTATCTGACAGAGAGAGAGAGAGCGCACCAGCAGGGGGAGCAGCAGAGGAAAAGAGAGAAGCAGGCTCCCCGCTGAGCAGGAAGCCCTATGCGGGGCTTGATCTCAGGACCCTGGGATCATGACCTGAGCCGAAGGCAGCCGCTTAACCAACTGAGCCACCCAGGCACCCTACAAAAAACATTTTAGACATCACAATTTCTAACCTGAAAAATTGGCATTTAATGTCTCTTTCACCATCTCAGTAATATTTTTTACCACAACACTTTTAGAAGGCACATAAGCTAATTCATATACATAGCTCCTATTAAAGAAGAAATCAGGCAGGGTCATCAAAGGAACAGGCCTGAAAATAGTAACATTCTGAAACGTCTTCTTTATATTTCTGCGATGAAGCAAAATCAATAGAGAGAAGAAGACCGTCATGAAGATTTCCACAATTAAAGAAATTATCTTCCTTTTCTGCAAAGAAACAAAAGGACTGTGAGAATTAAGAGTCTGTGTATATGTATGTGTGTGTGAATCTACACTCTTGTGCATATACATGTATACAATTTAAACATATTATTCAGCTCCGTTCTACAATACGAATGGCTCACTAGCCTGTCCTTTTCACCCTTTTCCACATTTCATTATCTATTCTCTTGATTTATCCCATGGGTACTCTTCAGAGTTAGAATTGCTACCTTAAGCCACGGAACAAAAGGGACAAAACCAAAACAAAACAAAACAAAAACCCATACACTAAAATGAGGGAAAAAGCTATTTAAAGTTCTCCCCTTCAGGTTCATTAGCCTTTACAACCATTTCCCACAGACACCTCCACTTACCTTTAAAACGAAATTTTTCCAGAGGAGGACCGCAAATTGGTTGAGCCACAACAAATCCATTTTATCGCAAAGAATGGAATTTCAGCTCTAAGAAGTAAACATTTCAAAAACTTACATCGCCTGGCAAAAATGTTAAATTTAGTCAAGTGAAAGGATTACTTCATTGTTTTACTCTTTTTATCAATCCTGAAAGATAACTACTTGAAATAAGTACTTGTCTTCTCTTATTTTTATATTAATTCACTATATTCACATCTGATGGTCTTCTAATATGTATGAAAGTATTAGATGATAGAGATGCAAAATGTAATAGGTTGCAGCCCCACATTTGCAAAGAAAGATGTAAACTGTAAATCTGGAATGTCAATTATTATTCTGATAGGCTCTCAGATAAATTCCTACAAATTATAATTCTGAAAATTTCCTATTTAATATCTACTCTGTGCCATATTCTATGCTAGGCATTAGGTGTATTCAAAATGACTGTAATCCTTTCCTCACAGTATGAACAGTAGAGTATAGTAATTGAGAACCCAGCATCTAAAGTAGGGCTGTTTGAGTTCAAATCCTAACACTCTCACAAGCTGTAAAATTTTGAGCAAAATAATTAAACTATAGCTCCTTATCATCTGTAAAATCAGAAAAATCACAGTACTTACCTAACAAGGTATTCCCCTGGGGTGATTTGCTACTATGGAGAGGGTGGCTAAAAGGCTATGCCCTTTTTAAAAATTGTGATAAAATATAACAACATAAAATTTGCCACTTTAACCATTTTTAGTTGTACAGTTCAGTGGCACCAATCACATTCATGCTGTTGTGCAACCATCACCATTATCCATCCCCAGAAATTTTTTCACCTTCCCAAGCTAAAACTCCATGGCCATTAAACAATCACTCTCTATTCCTTCCTCCCCCCAGTCACTGGCAACCAGCATTCCACTTTCTGTATCTATGACTTTGACTCCTTTGGGTACCTCATATAGGTGTCACTTCATTGTGACAGTATTTGTCCTTTTGTGACTGGCTTATTTCACTCAGCATAAAATGTCTTCAAAGTTTACCCATATTGCAGCATGCGCCAGAATTTCTTTTGTATGCACTACTTTTAACAGTCTCATAGGGCTTTCAAAATCAGAACTGGACTTCAAGACATACTAAAGGGAGAGAAGGATGTGGTGTGTACTGCATTAGTACTAAGAGGTGTCACGTCCTTTCAGTGAGTGAACCATAAAGAGTAACCAGGGAATGCAGTAAGGAGGAGCACCTCAAGTGCTTCTGAACTTTGAGTGGCAAGCACCCATGGTAAAGGGTAGTTTCTGGCCAGAAGACCAAGATGAAGACTGCCTCAGAGAACCTAAAGGTATAGGAGAGACAGAGGAATAGGAGGAGCTCAGCCTTGGTCTGAGCATAAATTGATCTCATCCCAGTTAGCACGCTAATCACTTTGATCAGTGAGCTGTAAGACTGAGATCCAGGGAGATCCAGATAGAACAGCACAGTTTTAAAAAAAACTGAACTGACGGTGACAACAGGGATGGACCTAGAGGAAATTATGCTAAGTGGAATGTGTCTGTCAGAAAGAGAAAGACAAATACCATGTGATTTCACTTGTATGTGGAATCAAAAAAACAAAACAAACAAAGCAGAAACAGACCCATAAATATGGAGAACAAACTGATGCTTGCCAGAGGGGAGGAGGCTGGGGAAATGGGCAAAAGTGGGTGATGGGGAGTGGGAGGTACAGGTTTCCAGTTATGGAATGAATAAGTCACAGGGATGAAAGGAACAACATGGGGAACAGTCAATGGCATTGTAATAGTGTTGTATACTGACAAGTGATAGCTATGCTTATAGTGAGCACAGTGTAATATAAAGAGTTGTTGAATCACTATGTTGTACACCTGAAACTAATGTAACATTGTGTATCAACTACACTTCAATAATAAATAAATAAATAAATAAATAAATAAAACTTGCATCATATCCCAAAGTCTTATAGTACAGTTTAACATGTCCTAAAAAACATTACTTATATTGTTCCTGTGCCTGAAACCACTGTCAATTTTTTCAAATAAAAAATAACAAATTAAAGAAAACTGAATTGACATTGCAACCACAGCCCACAGAGGTGGGTTGGAACTTGCAGCTTAAACCTAACCAAGTAGGGTTGCCAGATAAAATACAAGATGTTCAATTAAATTTGAATTTCAGATAAATAACAAATATATTGGGGGGACATACTTATACTAAAATATCCATAATTTATCTGAAATTCATATTTAACTGGGTGTTCTGTATTTTATTTGCTAAATCTGGCAACCCTGTAACAGGTCAGTTGCCTGCTAAACAAAACTATCAATATTCCCCATAGGATTTAAAACAGAACCCAGAGTCTCATAGTTCAATACACAAATGTCCAGAATGTAATCCAAAATTATTCAGCATACAAGAAACCACAAGTCTCAGGTTGCATAGGAAAAGACAATCAACAGATAACAATGGTGACATGGCATAGATGTTGGAACTACCTGAAAAAAAGCCTTTAAAGCAGCCACTATTATAATGCTCAAGAGAGCAATTACAGTCTTGAAACAAAATTTAAAGTAAAAACTATCAGTAAAGAAATAGAAGATATAAGGAAAAATCAAAGAGGAATTTTAGAATTTAAAGTAACCAAAACAATGAATCATGGAACACTACATCAAAAACTAATGATGTACTGTATGTTGACTAACATAACACAGTAAAAAAAAAAAGAAAGCAACCAAAATAAAACACTCACTGGATAGACTCAATAGCAGAATGAAGATGGCAGAGGAAAGAGTCAGTGAACATGATCAGTAGAAACTATCTAATATGAACAAAACAGGGGAGGAGGAGATTGAAAAAAATGAACACAGCCTCAAGATTATGTGGGAGAACAAACATAAAGTCTAACATACAATTCATCAGAGTCTCAAAAGACAGAAGAGTGTGATGCTGAAAACATATTTAAAGAAATAATGGTTACAGGGGCGCCTGGGTGGCTCAGTTGGTTGGGCGACTGCCTTCGGCTCAGGTCATGATCCCGGGGTCCTGGGATCGAGCCCCGCATCGGGCTCCCTGCTCGGCGGGAGGCCTGCTTCTCCCTCTGACCCTCCCCCTGCTTGTGTTCCCTCTCTCGCTGTCTCTTTCTGTCAAATAAATAAATAAAACAAGTCTTAAAAAAAAAAAAAAAGAAAAAGAAATAATGGTTACAAACTCCCAAATGTGGCAAAAGACACAAGCCTGTGGATATAAAAAGTTGAGCAAATCCCAAACAAGATATGTCTAGACACATCATAAAAAATCAAAATGATAAAAACTTAAGACAAATAAAAAATTCCTGAAAAAAAGTCAGAGGAAAACAACACATCACCTATAAGGAGACAAAGATCTGAAAAATGGATTGCCATCAGGGAAGCCAGAAGGAAGTGACCAACATTTTTAAAATGCAGAGAAAAGGTGTAATTGGATGTTTAGCAAAGAAATTCTTCAGAAATGCAGGTTGAAATAAAGACATTCACAAATGAAGGAAAACTAAGTGCCTCCACTGACAGCTAGTCTGATCTATAAGGAAAGGAAGCTCTTCAGAGAGAAGGGAAATGAGAACAGAAGGAAACTTGGAACATAAGAAATGAAGAAAGAGGAGCAGAAGTGGTAAACATCTGGACAAATCAAAACAGGTTATTCTTCTCTTCCTGAGTCTTCAGAATATTTTGATTGTTGAAAACAAAGAATATGGTGAGTTGAAGTGTTCAATAAAGGAAGACATAATATATGAGACAAATACAGTATGAAGGGGGAAAGGTAATAAAAGTACCAATATGGTCATAAAACTACATTCTAATTTAATTGATAAAATATTGATTCTAAATAGACTAGAAGTGTTTTGTAATCTCTAGTGCAACAACTAAAACATTATACAAAATTGCAATGGATAAAATATAATAGAAAAGACACTAGACACTGAGTTAAATTCACAAGGAGAAATAAAGAACCAGTAATGATTACAATGTAAATATAAAGCCAGTATTAATGATCTGTAGCTCATTTTTCTTATATAATTTAAAAGACAACTGCATAAAAATATACAAATTCATATTTTTTGGCAAACAATGTATAAAGATGCAATCTGTGACAATAATAAAGGGGTGAGGAGCAATAAATAGCATAATTGTTGTATACTGCTAAAATTAAGTGAGTATTAATTCATCTAGATTATTAGAAGCTAAGATGTTAAATATAATCAAGAGGACAACCACTAGAAAAATCACTAAAATATGTATTGCAGAAGAAACAAGAAAGGAATCAAAATGTTACACTAGAAAATATCTTACAAACAAGAAGACAGTAATGGAGTCATTGAGGAACAAAAATGATATAAGACATAAAGAAAACGAAGAGAAAAATGTCTGAAGTCTTACCTTATCATTAATTACATCAAATGTAAATGGATTGAATTCTCCATTTAAAAGGCAGAGATTGGTAGAATGGATATAAAAGCATGATTCAACTATATGCTGTCTACAAGAGACTCATTTTAGATCCAAAGGCACACATTAATTGAAAGTTAGAGGACAGGAAAAGATAGTCCATGAAAACAGTAAGCAAAAGAAGAGCAGGAATGACTGTACTAATAAAAGACAAAACATACATTAAGATAAAAATTTTGAAAAGAGACAAAGAAGTGTATTTTACACAGATTAAAAGATCATCTCATCAAGACATAAAATTAGAAACATATAAAAAACTAACAACAGAGCCCCCAAAACATATCAAGCAAAAATTGACTGAATTAAATTAAGCAAGAAATAGAAAACTCAAAAATAATAGTTGGAGACTTCAATTCCCCACTTTCAATAACGAATAGAACAACAAGGAAGAAGATCAGTAATGAAATGGAAGTCATAAACAACACTATAAACCATCTGGAACTAACATATAGAAAAATCTACCCAATAATAACAGAATACATATTGTTCTCAAGTTCACAAGGAACATTTTCCAGAGCAGACCATTAGGACACAAAAGAAGTC